ATAATTTTAATTCTTAATTTTAATTGTTTAAATTTTTAACCAAAAGAGGTTTAACTCACCCACGTTTATCTCGCGCGCCCGACGCGTCCCTCCCCGCGCCGCCACGAGATCCCCACACGCACCTTAAATGCCGCCACACTATTGGGCTTCTCTTCGTGGTCTGGGTCCCCAAGTCAGGCCCATTTATCTTCTGTTAACGGGCACGCCAGTTGCCATTTACTTGTTGAGTGAGTATTTTTAAGTACAAGTGTGCAATTGTTATATATTATATATATGTTTTTAGTTTATAATTTATTATTTATATGAGTTGTTATTATTATATGTGTAATTTTTTGATTTATAAGTTTTACTTTATATTTATTTTATTATTTTTATTTTTAAAAATTATTGTTATATATAAATATTAAATATAATAAATATAAATAAAATTTTAATTATACAAATACATGTAATAAATTAATTAAATAAATGAACTAAACAAATCAAATAAATAATTTTAAATTTTTATATCTATTATTAAACTTAATATTTATAAATATATTATTTTTATACCCATTACTTATTTTATTCTTTTACCGTTTGGTTAGGGTACTTTCCCAAATTCGTAAGTTGCTTGTAAATAACAGGTGCAACCATAGGCAATGCTCACCGTTCCACACCTTGGGTTATATATATACTTTTACTTAACATTATTAGTTTAGAGGCCTTCGGCCCAATTTCCTTCTACCTTCAATTCTCTCGATCCAAACCCAACTTGCTATACGGTCCATCAACTTTTTCCTCTTTTTATAAGTAAAAATTTTCATTATAAAATGAAATTTTCTAACATGTTATGGCATATGTTTTTTTTTTTTTTGACCAGAATGAAATTGGTTCATTTCAAATACCGCCATACGGCATCTACAGGAATAATAAACAGTAAAATTATAACAGGAGCAAGAAATTAGAGTAGACCCATTTCTAGAGGTCGAAGGGAGGTGCACATGACACTCGAACTACCACTAAGGGCGTAGCTATACAGCGGCCTTCGGTCGAGCAATCCAAACGGGACACCCTTCAATCTACTCATGTGGAAGGTGCGTCAGGCTCTAGGATGCCGATGCGGAGACCCGATCAGGCGGAGGCCGATCCCTAGAGGCAGCAGGTGGGTCGCGAGGTTGCCAGATCTGGGATCCCCCGCGTTCATCGCCACCGATAGAAGCTGCTGGATGGAGGGGACCACCGCCAAATCTGCAAGCCAACCAAAAAACAGCGAGCACCTAACAAGATCTGCAGGATAAGGCCGAGGGTCGCCAAATCTGAAAAACAAACTATATATGAACACAAAGAAACAACAAAACAACATGAAAAAACAAGAAAACCAAAGGGGTTACCAAAGGGGACCCAAAAGCCGACATACCCGGAAGGGTCGTCGGAGGAGGGAGCACAGGCCGACTTCAACATGCTTGAATGGCCGGGAAGCCCGGCAGCTCAAGCATCAAAACCCCAGAAACTCAAAGGCTTCCGGGCAAAAACAACCCAGCGCCAGAGGAAGGAGGCAGAAGCAAGAGAGAAGGGAGAGAAAAGGGGGAAAGAGAAGGGAACGATGGATGGTTTTTTATTCAAATGTGAATGTTAACATGTTATGGCATATGTTTAGTTTAAGTGTGTATTTATTTTATAATTTTATTATAATTTATATTAAAAATTTTATTAATTATTTAATTAAATTATTTTATGTGATATTAATGTAGAAAGTAAGGTTTATTTTTATAATTTTTTTAAAAAAAAGTTAATTATGATATTTAAAAATATATATTTATAAATTAATTTTAATATATTAAATAATAAATATTTACTATTTATTATTTTTAACAGTCAAATACGATAAAATTTTGATAATTTTAGTAAATATAACAAATTTAAGGGTAATTGTAACTATTGCTTTATATATTTTTTTAACCCTAATTATGTTTTCCCCATTAACCACAAGATTACATAGTGGGAAAGCTACAGGGATTCTGTCAATATCGAGATAAGATTAGTTTTTATTCTCCTCTAAATTTGTAACGAAAATAGACTAATTTGGGTGAAATTTCACATCTGACAAAAAAAAAAAAAAAAAAAAGAAATATTGGGTAAGATTTACCTAATAATGACATAATCCCATATCAAAATTTCACATCTGTAGTATAGTAGGAAAACAATTATTTTCTTAATTAGGGGGAAACCCATCAACTCTCCAAAATCCAAATAGGAGAAAATAAATAAGAGTTGTAATTTTAAAAATAATATAATTACAATAGATATTAATTAATGAGTATTAGTCTATATTATAAAAAATTAGATAAAAATATTTTAACATGATAAATAAATTTTTAATTAAAAAATTAAAAATTAATATCTTTAAATAAAAAATAAAAAATTGATATTTCATTAAATTTTATTGAGCAT